AAGAGAGTTTTAAAGCTTGAAATCTCTACTTTCGAAAGATTACTATATTTTTTCAGTTTCTGTGAGTTTGATAATTTTTACATCAAAAAAACTGCGAGCTGAAAAAGATGAAAATTTTTCTTTTCACTTTGAGAGTCTCTCACGTGTCCAAAAAAAATTTACAAAAATTTTCGACTACCTATCGTAAAAGCTCGAAGCTTTTCCTACAAAATCATTTTTTAAAAATGTTTCTATGATTTTTTGTTACTGAATTATTCGCGAATTAAGTAAAGGAGCATTCTAACTTTGATTACTCGTAACTCCGATAAAAATCATCACACCGCAATTTAAAAAACAGATTCTTAAAGCTAAAACTCTAACGAATAATATAATTGTAACGAAAATTTTGCAACAAATGAAAAACTTTTGCAAAAAATTTTTTTTAAATACGAAGAAACTTTTTCCCCAACCTGATATAAGAAATTCAAAGTGAAATTCCGAATTTCTAAAAATTAAATGATGATGGCATTGTTGATAAGCATATCTCTTTTCAGTGTAAAAAGTCTCCACAAGAAATCATCCACTATTTGTTGAAAATTTAAAAATTGATCAGAGAGAAGATTTTATTACATTTTATTATTTATTACATTGTACTATCTACGTGATTAAATACATCGAGAAAAAGGAAGGAATAGAATTTATGTAAATCCACGAACGCGCGAATCAGATCAATAAGAAATCGGCCAAGTACGACGGTTCGCAGTTACTCGATACGGAACCTCGATAATGTAAGCACTCGCAATTATGTGCACCGTTCCCGAGCGAATTGAGGGGCCATCACAAGCGGTGTTATTACGGTTATCTAAAAAACGTGGACTTCATTATAAAATGAGATAAGATAATTGATCGGCGGGGGCCCAGCCGGTCCCGTCGCGTATTCGCGCCGGCCGGGGCCGACCGATAAAGCGGCACTTGTCTGTCGACACTCGTGTCGATACGTAATATTCTCAACACGATGCGCCACTAACAAGTTTATTGCGCCGAATTGATTGGAGTAGAAGTTTACGATGGTTTTACACCCGGAGCGGATCGGAGCGGACGCCACTATCGGAACGCGCCGCCCTGAGTCGCTACTCGAATTTTAAATGAGCGTCCGTAGGGCGCGACGAATCCCGTAACTCATTTTATACAACTTCAACTATCTCCGGGTACTCACCGTCAGCTCTGTGTAAAATTAGCCGATGTCTAGAGTTTCGTTTCTCGGCCTGCGTTTCTGAAAAAAGCGGCTATTCTTGTCAAGGAGAAATTTCAATTCGGTTTTCGCTGCATATATTCTTTATGATGAGATGAACTCGCGACGTTTTATAAAATTTGAATTATCACTGAATTTTAAAAAGATTTTTTTAGTGCCGGCTACGATTAATAAGACTCTTTATAGTTAAATATAGGGTCTGTTAAATAAACAAAATTATTTTCAATTAGAGCATTAGAAAAAACTGCTGTTAGCTATTCCTCTTAAAATCAAATTAAAATAAAAATATAGTGCTACAAAACGCTAGGAGTATAAAATTCCAAATATCCGAATAATTTACATAAGATACGGAAAATGTTTTTCCGAATATGCCCTTTGATTCTCCATTTTTTTTTGCGCAGAGTACTCGACGTGGAGAGGTGGCATCAGGAAGCTGGTCCTTACAATGTCATCCTCTGCCTAAATCTCCTCGATCGTTGTGACCGTCCAAATACTCTATTGAAGCTATTGAGAACCTCACTGGCTCCCGGTGGCAGACTAGTCGTCGCCTTGGTGCTACCGTTCAGCCCTTATGTCGAAGTCGGCGAAAGAAATAATCACAAACCGTCAGAATATTTACCAGTGCGAGGAAGTGGACTCGAGATTCAGATAGTCAGTCTGATCGATCGAGTCTTCGCTCCGGTGGGACTGCGATGCCTCGTCTGGAGCAAACTACCGTACCTTTGCGAAGGTGATCTAGGACAGTCGTACTACTTCTTGGATGACGTAATCTTCGTGCTGGAGGCGCAGCCAGTTAATACACGATCCTGCGAGTTCTCGATAAACGACGATGTTTCGCTGAGGAAGAATTTTTAAAGCTTCAAAAGCCAAGCAGGCTATGTACAGTGTATTTATGGGAATAATTAATGGGGGCCAGAGAAAGAAGATGATACCAGGCGTGTCTTTCACACTTGTAAAAACTTTAATAATTGCTGTCATGAGTTAGAATTATGCGAGAATACAGAAGAGCAATACTGGCAAGCGACGACGAGCTTAATGTGCAGACACAGCGGTTAGCGTTTGGTGTACGAATATCGATTAGCGATCCGAGTTAAAAAGGGAACGACGGATCGACAACGGTGCGCATTTTACAATCATTTATCATCTTACTGTCGAATTCGGTGCGGAAACATGTACACGGTCTCTATGGTATAGATATGGCGCGAGAGTAACGAGATTCGGAAACGAAATCTGTACTTATCCTTTTTCTGTCTTTTCCTGATGTGCTCGACTCCGTTCGAGAGAACGCGTACCTTTAGAATCAAATCTTATCTTGCTCTAATTATCTAAACTAGTAGAAATTAACGGACGGCAAAGGAGAATATTAAACTAACGCACATTACAGCAACAGTTGCAGCTATTGCAATGATAAAACTGCAAAACGAATAATGGGAAACGAAACATTTTTAAACTTTAACGATAATTAATCTAGAACATAAAATAGACAACAACATTATCGTTAATAATAAAATACAGCGAAAGTAATAAAGAAACTTACTGCAGTGCTGCGACTTTTGCTTAAAAAAAAATAATAATAAATAAATAAACGCACAAACTCCTCGTCACATCGTCAAACAATTGCGCTATCGTGTTTAAATCATCAATAAGATAAGATTTATCTCAGATGCAATTCTTAACATATTACGTATTTCGAATTTCTATTTCAATATATTCGATCAACTCCCTTTCTCGTCAGACTCTGTTTCCGCGCTCCCTTTTCTCTATTTGGCATAAGTTGCAACGACTTAGTCATGGATATGCTTAAAATTGCGTTGATCACACGGATCGACCGATCGAGATACAAACGACGTTACGTTTGCATTTTTTTAATAATACGTAATATTTTATAAGAAATAAGTCCACCTAGTTATTGGAAATACACTTTGATGTGCAACAAGTTATCGTCGAATTATGAACCATATTACAGCAGCCTTCTTGTCAATATATAATATTATATATAATATTATATATGTATGTCAACAAAAACGCAGTCTACAGAAGCCGGATCTGCATTCGTTTAAACAGCTATAATAGCCATGAAAAACAAATAAAGAATGACTGTCAAGAATTATTTTCCAGACTTGTTAATTATCATCATATCACATGCTTCCTATTTTCAAACACAATAGAATGCAAGGTGAAAGAAGAATAATACGATATAGAGACGATATGAAAGAGTAATAATTAATTAAAAAAAAAAAACAAAAACAGAACGAAAGAAAATAATAATTCGCATGGTTTTTCAAATCATGGATCCGACTCCTAAATGGTAATCGATCGGCACATTCGCTGCATACGTATAGTAAATAATAACAGATACATGTATAGAAAGATATCTTCAACATGCACGCATCCATATAAAATTTTGCTATTTGATAGCCAAAACTTTGCATTCTTGCAGATACATGTACACACATCCCACAAAACAGAGCTCACACATTCGAGTGCTGCGCACTATTTCGCATTCGCGGTATTACACAGCATTTATCGCTTACATCCAAGACGAACGCTTTGTAACTTTATATTATCGAGAAAGAAGGAAACATTTTATCATACCGCTTATATGCGCATATAACAACCGAGTAGGAAACAATTTTACTCCTGCAACTGATTCGATATGCCGTTTATTTTTGAGGAAGTGTTCGATCGAGATCAATCGCGATCCTCTAATTTGCAGTTTTCTCTTGCAAGAGTAAAAACGTTTCTGCGTAATAATACTTAGTGCACGATGAAGTCTTTGAGCGTCAGTGCGAATCACACCCTCTTAAGAGTTCTCTAATGACATAACAATTTCGTTCTTTTTCCTTTTCTACGTATATATTAAGAAATAATTTGTTTTTTTCTTTTTTTTTTTCAAAAAATACCTATATAAATTGACCAATGATTCTTTTTCACGTGCACACCGCATATACTGCCTATGGGAGCTTATTACAAATCTTTCAACATTTGTAACATATGTTTGTTCAACGAACAGTACTAGAAATAACAATGATATATGTTCATTTTATTCTTAAAAATAAGTAATAACGTATTCATATAAATCTTTTTAAAAGAAGATATGCATACATATATTATAACATATACAATTTATATATATATATACACGTATGCATAAATCGTGTACATATATATTATAAATTGAACACAATTATTTCGCTAATCGAATAACTCGTTTCATACTAATTCAAAGCTCTACATTAAAGAATATACTATATTTAACAAACGAGTTAAAAACATGTAAAACAAAGCAACACGAGTTTAATAATCGAGAAAATTGTCAACTTATTCTTTCTTTATGCGCCTATGTCGCGAATGTTGAAATAGTAATCGATTAGTAGCAAAAGCTTTTGTACCAAATCAATTTAGTCTTTGCTTCTCATATTGACATAAGTTTTACATGCCTACATAACAGTTTTATACATATAAAGGAAGCCTTATATATTATTAATCAGGTAGTAATTATTGGAACACAAACGGCAAATTATTAAATCGATACAGTAAATATAAAGGCTATCTGTATTGAATACCTATTATTTATGTAATTTACGTAATCATAACTCAGTCGCTAGGCTTTCAGTAATTATGGGATTAATCGATAGATTATTTGTCGAATAAGCTCCATAGGCAGATTGAGAGCAATAATAATACGAAATCAGGTTACAGTGATAAAATAAAGCTAGTAAGAAATCCCTAAAATGACGCGGTGTGTAAGTTTAGTCCTACATATAAATCTTTTTTTTGTTTCTCGCTACCCACTTTTATCACAGTCCACGCATGACTCATTTTGTCTCTTAGTATTTGAAGTCCTAAACGCCAACAACTTTTTTGAGCAATCCATCGGGTTGTTTAGATACGAAACACCCAGCTAATTAATAAACATCTTGTGACTAGAACATCATAGAGCGCAAAAAGACGAAACTTGGTCTGTCGCGAGTAAAGCGAAGACGACGGTTAGTCTAACTTACGCTGCTCGCATAATTCTTCCATCCCGCTAGCCTTTCTGTTAAAAAAAAAAATAAAAGAATATCTATATATATATACATATATAGATAAAACAGTAGAAATATACTTTTGAGGCTTTCACGGGTGTTTTCTTCAGAGATCCCAAGGATTTACGGATTATCGCCGTGTTGTGATCCATTGCTAGTGTCAACCAGTATCACTGCGCTCTTTACCTCGATGAAATCAACAAGGTTCACGAAATGTTAGCATTAGCAATAGATCACGACGATAAACCCTTTGGCACCTCTGAATAGTAAAAATATGTATATTAACAATAGAGTTAAAATAATAGTAGTTGCAGTTAAGTAAAATTACTCACAACGTTGACAGGTAAGGGGTACCGGTGTGATCTAATCGGTGTTTATCTTCGTTTTTCCAGCTCGAAACTGGAATATGTGGAGGCGGCAAGAAGCTTCTCAATGATTGTACAAGCTGTATGGTATCGACCAATGCTGCAATTAAGAATAAGCAACATGAAAATCTCTGTAAATTACTTTGAGAAGGAACTTTGAATAAAAATATAAAATTTGATAGCACAATAAATTTATGTAGAAAAAAAGAAAAGAAAAACAGTTGATAAAATTAAGAGTCTTTACTTTTTTGCAGAGCCTCGGATTGTTTGCCGTACGGCTTGCACATTGCCGGTCGTACGCAAGCTTTCATTCTTGCCATGTTTTTCATCACTTCTGCGAAAGCGCGCACAATCTTCTCTTGACCACCTGAGACAGTAGAATAAATTCATTAATGTGATTTTAATGTATAATCCTTGCATTACAATTGTCTCTGTTGCAAAACGCATTGATATGACTGTATGTGCTGCGTGCATAATTCAAAGGGATTGCGTCTAAATTATATTTAACTGCCTATATTGTTATTCTTTATGAAGAACATTTAACTAAAGTAAACGAGTCTTCAAGTGCTGCAATGTGTATTATATTGGGTCATTTAAAAAGTATCCGCGGTTTTTTCATTCAAAAATTGAACAAAAAACCGCGGATATTTTTTAAATGACCCAATATATTATTTCAAAACTGTGTATATATTACGAGTCTTAATCACCTTCTGAATTCGAAGATGATGATCGGGATCCCTTTTCACTTTCTAAAGGCCATGCACCGTTGTGTAGCGCTAACAAGTCCTTGTTGGCGTTTCCTAATCCTTGTAAGTTTCCTAAACCGAGAGAAGTGAGATTGTCCAAGTTATCCAGATTGGTACGTAAAAAGTCCGTCAACTTATGATCGGAGATTGGTATATTAGGTATTAGAGATTCATAATGCTGCTTGCCGGATGGCACTTTCTTCTCTTGTGATACAGGCCGATGCGGAATATTTAATGACGGACGGCTTGGGGGACGTTGAAGATTCATTTGGTTGCCAGCACTCCTCATCTCCGATAAATCCGCCGCGGATCCTCCTCCCAAATGTGTGTTCGGATTAGCGCTGCTTAGGCTCTATAGAGAGATATGTCAAGTATATAGTAAAATGTTAAATTAAAAAATTTTTAAACAGATGATTGATGATTGAAAGTATGCATGTTAAATGCACACAATTTTTAAAGCCAATATATAATCATAAAATTTTTACATTATATATATATATATATATATATATATGTGTGTATAAAAAAAACTTGTGTATGTAATAACAAGTATAGAAAATGTATAAAAAGTTGGCTCATTACCTGGAAATCTGTGCTATGTGGAAAACCAGTACGTAGAAGAGACGCAGTCGCTTCATTTTCTTGAATATAAGTTGGTGCCATGTGACCCATCTTCTGAGTGAGCTCCAGCTGATTTTTGTAGTAACGACAAGCAGGATTGGGACAGTTTTGCACGACTTCTATGATAAACTCTTTCTCCATCCCGAAGCACTCTCTTCCAATGGTGTAAGATTCCATGACTGCTCTGACTGTACCTTCTAAGCCCAAGTGTAAGCCGTGTGGTCCATTCATGTGTTTCAACATTACGGCATTGGCAAAGTGTTCATAGGGTAGTATTATTTTGCCATTCTCTCTAAGGACTAATCTTCCCTGTGAATCTAGTGCAACTCTAGATGCCATCATCCTAAAAATGAATCAAATGCAGTAAATATTTTGCAAGACAAATAAATTGTGTTTGATAATAAAATTATTATTCTCACTGTAAATAGGCGGCGCTAGGCATCATAGAAGCATCCTTAAATTCCGAGAAGCATTGCAGTAGCTCGATACTAGGATTCCAGCCTTTATTTTGCAAATACGCTTGTAACAACATGTACATCTTCTCTGTGACATAACCAGCGCTGCTCGCGGAGTAACCCGATCCTCCACCCGGTGGACCCATTTCGGTTTGCATACCTTTGGCAACAATGTTCTTCATAGTTTCTGCCAGGTCCATTCTACATGCATATAATTATATACATGAATTTCCCGACACAGGGCGAGTTTTTAATTCATCGATTGATCAATTGCATTGTGCACGGATATAATTTTCTTCAGTAAAAGCCGCATTTGCGCATGTGATCAATCGATAAATTAAAAACTCGCTCATAATGAAATTGTGAACAAAATCTCTACACTCATCTGATACACAATCATTGACTGCGTTCAGCAGAACGTTTATTTTGCAACTGTTAGAAAGTTTTCTTCGCGCTAATTGGATTATACTTTTAGATTTAGAAGAATAGTCCTATCTCTGCAGACAATCATAAAACGGTTGCAAAACTCTTGTATTCTGCTGAATGTAGCCATTGTATGGATGCTTTCCTGCAAGAGACTAGATTATACAATAGGTCTGTTCTTTTTTTTACTTATAGTTCTTGCGCATTCCTGTTTTTCTTTAATGTGAAAAAAAATGAAAGATGAAACGTGCAAGAAATTCAGCTGAAGAAAAAAAATAGGGTTTAATGTAACACAATGAGTCATCAATCCTTGTTAATGTTAAACAAAGATTAGATGACTTACTATATATATATATATATATA